TTTCTCCCTGCCAGCGCCGCAAGTAGCCTTTGTCGGACCCGAACTCAAATATTTGATTTATCCGTGTGTATTCAATCGTGCTCTGTTTTATTTCACTCTTTACAAAATAGGAATGGGTTCTTAATCAATTTTGAAAAGTACCATTTATAACTTTCCCTTAACATTTGTGGCGATCGCCAGTTGGAACACAGCAACAAATTTTGATTTTTCTTATGCACATCTCAACAATTATTAAACAAAACAATAAGCAAAAGTGTTTTTAATACTTAAATAAATTGATCTTTTCTTATAACGTACATGATAAATGTATAACTATAGCGACAATAAGGAAAAACGCAATACATAATGACTATTATATTTTATAGCCTATTAAAACTATTTTCAATTTTATTTTCTAGACACCAACCATATTTATAAATCCATTTATGCTTAGTTGTCTAATTGTCCGTATTAATTATTTCAATTATTATTCTTTTTATCTAAGGTCTTAGTTGAGATGAAAAAGTGAACCCACGATCTTCCGCTCAATACGCCGCTGCTCTAGTCACTTGAGTTATCGTGACATCTGGTTGGTTAGAGCAGCAGCGTATTGAGCCGAAGGTCCTGGGTTCGAATCCCGGTTGTGACACCAACTTTTTCGTCTCAACGAAGACCGTAGATAAAAAGACTAATTAATTGAAATATTAATATTATTTTTTTAGAATATTTTTTTGGACTTACACTTAAGTACTGGTTTCTGTAACAAACACCAATAAGGGGGCCGCACCGGTTAAGTCGACACGCTCATCTATGTAAGGTGGACTTTTGTTCAAAAACACCGACATCCCGAGAGTTGGATAAGACCTGTGGTGTTTCAAAAAAATAATAAGAAGAAGAAAATAATTAAATAAAAAGACAATTTTTTTTATTAAGATTCCCTAGACGGAGACAACTTATTTTCTCTAATGTCAGGTGTTCCAGTAAAATAACCCCTTTGGATTTTAGTCAAATTCATCATTATTACATCCGTTGAAATGTCTAATTCCTATTATTTCAGCCTTTTTAAACAGCATAGATTTTCGGCCAATAAAAGAGAAGAAAACAAGTATGCAATCAACAAAAACCTCTTCAATGATTAGTTTCTAGAATTTTAAAACTAAAACTACTACTAAAAGTTTCAATATTATCGGTTGAAAGTAGCCATCATTTTGTGATTTTTGAAAAAAAAATCTGAAATCATTTGTAAGGCGGGAAATTTTAGAGAAATTTTTTTTTTAAGTTCGTTTTTTGCGAAAAAATTAAAGCTCGGTATGAAGATGATATAAAGCTCGGTCTCTACATCAACATCATATCTATTTCGCAGCTAGCCATTTTTATAAATAAGTTTCGAATATATTGAAATAAATAATTTTTACCACCAATTTTTTTTTCGTTACAGTCAATGATTCTACATCAGTAGCCTTCTCACGCCAGTTGGAACTGAGAACACCCAACTTGTCTCCGAGTAGATAGAAGTCGCGACAGCTCAAGTGGTTAGACAGGCGTTGTATTGAGGTCGTGAGTTCGAATCCCGCTTGTGACACTAATTTTTTCATCTCAACCAAGACGTTACATAAAAAGACTAATTAATTGAACTAATTTATAAATATTTACCATGATTAAAAAATACCCCGGAATACGTTTGTATTAGGATCTTCATCTTGAATACCAACAAATTTTACTTTACTATTTTTGAAATTCTTACGATGAAGTAATGATATTATGAGACGCTAAATAATAAATATTTTAATCTGAAAAAATAATAAACATAACATTTAGGCGATTTAATTTATTGCTCAAAAATGTTTAACTGAACTTTTTAATTTTGATGTTCAATTTTGTAGTAATCATGCAATGTACGAATTATCCACAGTTAAAAATATTGGTCGTTAAACGAAGTAAGTGCAGGAAGCAAGGCGAGTTGGTAAGCGATTCACCTGTTGTGTACCATCAGGGTTCCTAAGTGTGATATCGTTTAATTTAGTGTAAAGACAATCTCTTCCCCCACGAAAGCCAGGGGTTCCGCCGAGAGTGCTCTTAATCTAACTTTTTACTTGTTTTTCATTGTACACTCAATTTAAAATTAACGACCACTATTTGGGAGTCGGAGTACTATAATTTCACAGTCAATTTCTTTGTCCCTTTCCCTTTTCCTCATAACCGACTCAAGGAGAAATGGGCCGTGTCGGCCGGGGGAACGTGGAATATTTGAACGGGGAACGCCTTTGGAAAGAGGAGGAGAAATCTGACGGAGGTTATCCAGAGAGGTTATTGCGATCCCCCTTTAAAAATCTATCGCACGTTGGATTTGGAATGGGGAAAACAATTTCAGATTACGTCCAATCGAGTACCACGCACTAGCTACTCGATAAGAGTCAATTAATCGCTCGTGGTGCTTGTCTTTCAACGTGAGGTACGATGATGGGGCACAAATGTGCTCTCCTACCCAGGCAAGGGCCATCACGTTTTCTATCCTACGTGCGTTTCCAAATCACGATCCCTGACGGAGAGGCGCGTTAAGGAAATCCATGTACACAATAGATCATTGCATTTATTAACTATTGATATATTTGGCGGAGAATTCCATTATCTTCGTATAGGAGATCGTATTGATGTTGGTTGATAATTTAAATGAGTTCACAATAATTCGTTAACATGAAAAAAGTCAATTTTTAACATTTATTCATTATAGATCGACATGAAATATCAAAAAGAAACATATTCTCTCACGATTTTCAGCGAGTTTTTATAAACCTAACACCACAAGGTAGGAAGAAGACGTCTCAAAGACAGCAGGGGTATTCACGATGTTTGTAACATGTTTTCTTACCATGTTAAATATTAATTTTTCCACAATGCTGCGCGTGGCGACTGGTAGAACCAAAAATAGAGCTACAACATTTTTGAAGGCTTGGTGTTATTAGTTTTGGTTTGGTTTGTGCCAGACTTTAGATGCCAGAAGTTAATAAAAAAGAAAAAATTAATCAAATTTTTCATTCAAAATGCACTCGAACATATATCCTAAAGTCTAACAGCCTGCAACGTTTTAGGATAGGGGCTGTATCTATTATGAATGATAGTATAAAAATAGATCAGAAATTAATAAAATAAATGTATTGGTCTGATTTAATTAATATGTTTTTAAGAATAAAAATATGTGTAAACAAAAAACAGTTGTTAAATTCATGGCTGCCATGTGGGTTAACGGAGAGCAATGTGACTACATTTTCGACCTAGCATTTAACATTGTTCCTGACCTGTTAGATCGAGCAATGTTAACTAGCCGATTCTTACAAGTCTACGTCATCATTTTTCTCGATCTAACAGGACTTAACAGAGTTAACAGGTGTGTAGAGATTAGTGACCGTTAATCGATAGTTATTCAGATATCGTGAGATGTGGTCGGGTGTGACGTAGGTTTCAGAAAAACATTTTCTTTATCGTGCCAATGTTTCGATCTTTTATTGAGATCTTCTTCAGGGCCTGGGACAGGGTTAACACAAAGATCGTGAATACATCAAAGTTGCTAAATAGGAGGAATGTTCTTCCAGAATCGATAGAAAAATATGAAAACCAGGTTGATCATGACTATGAAAGACAGGAATGGACAAACTATGCTCCGATTTATTTTCAATCCGTCCGCAGGTTAATATTGTATTTACATGGAAAACGTAAAAGTAAATCAAATTCGGAGCGTTCTCTAAGAAATAGCCTATAGAAGATTTGGGAACACATTTAGTGTGCACTTTATAAGTATTGTTAAATGCGGTTTTTACCGTTTTCTCGTGTTTTTCTTTATTACTCCATAGATATGTTTGTTCTGACAACGGGCCAAGAACAGCTTTGTCAAGGCATCATCATGAAACCAAACATGAAATAAACTTTGATGATCTGTTTCAATAAAGTCACCTTTTTATGTAAGAGTTTAGTTGAAATGAAAAAGTTATAGTCACGAGCGGGATTCGAATCAACGACCTTCGACTGAGAGTTCGAATCCCGCTCGAGACACTTCCTCGTAAACCATACTAAAAATCTGTGGTGATTGACCGTTAATCGATAATTATTCAGAAATCGTGAGATGCGGTCTGGTGTGATGTAGGCTTCAGAAAAACATTTTCTTTATCGTGCCAACGTTTCGATCTTTATTAAGATCATCTTCAGGGCTCAAAGTGTTTGTCTTCTGTGTAATTGTGCCATTCTTGCTATATTATTAAGATATAATAATTATATTAAGAAGATGATGATTGACCAGAAATAATGTGTATAAATATCATGCATGTAATAATATCACTTTTTAATTAAAAAATTAGATTTTTTCTGTTTTATGAGTACTTAATAAAAAATAAACCATTCAATTTACATGATCTGGTTTACGATTTGGCCCTTTTCTAAGAAAGTTGGTCTACAACTTATCTAGGATTGACATGGTTCAGGAGATTTTTTTAGTCTGATCCGACAGTGCCTGGTCTTAACCTCAAAAAATTTCGTACGTATTGTTACGTGTACATTGATAGCTCAACTTTAAAAAATTGTAAACGGAGAGTGAATTGACATTGAACATATAGGAATGCAGATATTTTTCAAAATACGCAGAAAGAATGGACAGCTCTTGTGTCGCGTTTCTTTTGTATATAAATAATAGAGCAAGTATTCAATTTGCTAATTAATTATTAAAAGTGATTGGTTTAAAAGGTATAAAAAAGAACCAGGAGTATTTGATCTAAAATCTCAATGTTTTCTACAATAATCTACGACCGAGTAAGCAAACAAGTTAAGTAATACAAACAAATTAATTATACTTTTCATATAAAGTCTTGTATGAGATGAAAAAATTAATGTTACGAGCGAGATAACATTAACCAAGGCTTTATACAAGCAGTATAATTAATTGACATAATTGAATAAGTCAATTATGACCGCTAAACATATAAACATTACTATAAACTAAGTTTAGAATAAAAAAACTAAGAAAAAATATTCTTACCAATGTTCGCATATTCCTTTCCTGAAACAGAAAATATTTCATTTTAGTTATAATCCATGATGATCAAGGTAATGGAGTAGTAAGCATAACAGTAAAAGAAAAAGAATTTGGTCTATTATAAATTAAATTGAATTGTCACGTGTTGTAAAGCAACTAACGTTGTATACGATCCTGGGAAACTTTCTCCTTATCGTTGCAAATGTGGAAACGCTTTAAGCCAAGCACAAGGCCGAGAAATACACTGTTCCCGTACGGATTGAGAAAGATGTGACACAAATTCGAAAAGGCGAAATACCACAGTTGGAGGTTTTTCTCCTACGAGAATTTTTTCCCCTAGAAACAAATACATACCCGTGCATAATCCCCTCGTTTACATGTATTATACAAGGTCTGACAACTCGGTTAATCATTGTGATTGAATCTGTAAGACAAAAAGACGGGGAATGGGTTTCAGGAGGATTTCCAAAGTAAATATTCAAGGATCCTTCAGCAATAACAGCGTAGGAGAGTCTAATGCGTCACTTTCAGTTCTAAAACTGTGAAATACACTTATTTACGAAAGCGTTAGCTGAATTCAATATATTTTTTATAATTTATGATTATAGTCAAAATAGGGGATTTTAGTAAAACGGAAAATCGTTTTAAACTCGGCTGTTACAAGATTTTTTAAATCCAAAAGACATAAATTTGAATTTTTTTTTTTGTTTCCATATTTGATCTCTTTTTGTTGTTATTATCATTTGTTTGTACAGCAAGTTTACCAACACTTTCACTAATATTGAGAAAAGGTTTCTGCCCGCATACAATTATTTTTTTTTTTTTACGAGGGTTCGCAACAGCAGAGGTTATATCAACTCTCGGGAAACCGGTGTTTTTGAAAAAAAGCCCATTTCTAAGTATGTCCGGTTCGAATGCATGCAGGGCCGCTGGATTCGACCACGGGACCTTTACCTTACAGTGATGAGCGCCATGTCAACGCCTAAACCGTTGCGGCCACCGACGCCCTCTACAATTATTATTGTGTAGTGTTTAGTGACCGAAATATTATTTGGTAATCGTGAGATGTGGTCTGGTATCACGTAGGTTTTAGAAAAACATTTTCTTTATCGTGTCAACGTTTCGATCTTTATTTTGATCATCTTCAGGGCTCAAAGTGGTTTTTTCTGTGTAGATGTGTCATTCTTGTGTGGCATGTTGAGAGTGCACTCCGAAATGAAAACAAACACTTTGACCTCTGAAGATGATCTCAATAAAGATCGAAACGTTGGCACGATAAAGAAAATGTTTTTCTAAAACCTACATCACACCAGACCGCATCTCACGAT